ATTAAACAATTGTGTAAATCATGGAAATGATACAAACTAGAATGGCAATATGCATCACATAATAATGATTTATAATCTAATCCTATATGATGAGATGATTAAGAAATTCAGAAACAAAGAAATCATACTAATATGAAACGTCCATTTGGATGAATAACCTCCTTAAAGAAAGCCAACACAAACAATTTAAGTATTTGTAGAGATGAGCTATGCACAGGTAGGCTCGACCAAGCTTAAAATCAAGCTTTTTTTTTTAATTTTTGTTATTAAAAACTCTTCTATTTATCAACTTAGGAAGCAGGACTTATTCACTTTCAAATTCATGATTTATTTTACTAGTTTGCTGCTTAGTCTTATTTATGACAGCAAACATGATTTGTTTTACACATTTTAGAATATATTCAATATCTTTTAAAAGCACAATTTAGTTTTATATGAAGTTCAAGTTCACGTGTTAGGAGTAGATTCAATTCCACATAAAAGTTTAGATTCACAGTAAAGTATGTATTCAATTTATATTAAAAGTTCATGTTCATATTCATGAGTAGATTAAATTTCAATGGAAGCTCAAATTTAATAATTAATATTAAATTCTACTAATTGCAAAATTATTGTAAATTCACTATAATTTTCTTTTAATTAGATTCAACCCCAAATGTAATTTAAAAAATTTTCTTGTGATTCTTGCTTGATTATGGTTTAATTCACTTTGAGGGCTAGATTAAATTTTGCTTAAAGTTCAAATCTTGACATTAGTTCATGCTTAGATTTTAGATTTAATTTTCACTTCTTTTGTAAAGATAAATTCAAATTTAGAAATAAACTCTAGGTAGTTATAGATTTGATTGGAGGTTCAATTTTAATTGCTGATATAATCTTTAATTCTAGGGCGTCCCCTGGAAACGACTCGCTGTATAACCTGAATACAGTGAAAAGTGTGCAAGGGCCGCTACACCGGCGCCCGGGTGTAGTGTTAAATAAGCAAGGGTTCCCACATTACGGGCGAATGCGGGTAAAGAAGTTAGTCCATGAAACTAATGAAACTAATATTAGGATAGGATCTTGGAATATAGGCACTCTCAATGGTAAATTAATGAAATTAGTTGATATTATGATTCATAGGAAAACCAATATCTCATGTATTCAAGAAACTAAGTGAGTTGGAGAAAAGGCTAGGGAGATTGATAATTTAGGTTTTAAATTTTGGTATTCTGGTAAGATTCACACTAGAAATGATGTAGGTGTAATTATAGATAAGAGTTTAAAAGATAATGTTGTAAAAATTAATAGAGTTGGTATAGAGTTGGTGATAGAATTATAGCCCTTAAGATTATCATTGATACTAAGATTTTTAATATTATAAGTGTTTATGCTCCTCAAGTAGGTTTAGATACAGAGTCTTAAGATAAATTTTGGAATGACTTAGAAGACTTAATACAAATGATATCTCTTGAAGAAAGAGTTTTTATTGGAGGAGATTTAAATGGACATGTCGGTAGAGTGGTAGAAGATTTCAGAAATATTCAGGGTGGCTACGGTTTTGGAGTAACTAATGAAGAAGGTAAAGTTATTTTAGATTTTGCTTTAGCGTTTGATTTTGTTATTACTAATACTTTATTCAAGAAAAGGGATGAACATCTTATTACTTATAAGAGTGGATCTAATAAAACACAAATTGATTATTTTCTTATGAGAAGAAGAGATCGTCGCGATTGTAAAGATTGAAAGGTCATACCAAGTGAAAATTTAAGTACCCAACATCGTTTATTAATTTTAGATTTTAAGATTAAAAGTTGTAAAATAAAAAAAAAAACTAGGACTCATTATTGCAGAATTAGATAGAGAAATTTAAAAGATACAAATAAAATTATTTTTATGAGTAAAATTCAAGATTTCAAAATTTGGGATATTCATGAAGAAGCAAATGTGATGTGGGATAAAGTAACAAACGCTATTAAACAAGTAGCAAAAAATGTTCTTGGAGAATCAAAAGGAAAAATATTTACAAATAAAAATAGTTGGTGGTGGAATAATAATGTGCAAGAAAAGAAAAAATATAAGAAGTTATGTTATAAAAATTGGTTTAAATGTAAAAGCTTAGAGAACTAGAGAAAATATCAAACGGCCCTCAGGGAGTCTAAAAGAACAATCTGTGATGCTAAAAATTCTGCTTTTAATGATCTTTATAATAGATTAGATACTAAGGAGGGTGAAAAATATATGTATAAACTAGCCAAACAAAGAGAAAAGAAAAGTAAAGATTTAACTTAAGTAAAGTGTATTAAAGATGAAAATCAAAAAGTACTTTTCTTAGAAAATATATTCAACATAGGTGGGTGAGTTACTTTGATAAACTTTTTAATGAAGTTTCTGAAAATACGATCGACCTTGGTGATTTTAATATCGTGAATAATAATAAAATGTTTCATTTTTACTGTCACATTAGCAAAAAAGAAGTTGAGAAGACTTTAAAGAAAACCAAGGGTGGAAAGTCTTACTAAAGTCTTACTAAACTAATAATAAAATGATATTCCAATTGAAGTGTGGAAATATTTGGCAGATTTGGGAGTTTATTGGCTTACTAAACTCTTTAATATTATTTTAAAAACTAAAAAGATGTCTGAGGAGTGGAGGAAGAGTATTTTGGTCCCCATTTTTAAGAATAAAGGGGATGCACAAGAGTGTGCAAATTATAGAGGAATTAAGTTGATGTGATACTTTAAAATTATGGGAGAGGGTAATTGAACATAGGTTAAGACGCATCACAAAAATTTCTCATAATCAATTTGGATTTATGCCAGGCAGGAAACGATGCCATTGGGACCAAACATGGCTAAAAATAGTGGATCCGATGTAATAAAGGCAATAATTATTGTGGGTAGCAGAACTTTAGAGGCCATTTGTAATCACTTTTTTTAGTAGTTTTTTGTTGTCTTTTAATTTAATTTTATTTATTTTTTGTTATGAAGCAAAATATGCTTGCATTCTTAAATTAATGCTATTTTTTATTTTTATTATATATTGTATAAGTCGATTTATTTTGCTATTTGGAAAAGGAAGGTGGTGCTATGATTGGAGGTGTTGTGACATAGGCAGATGCACCATTTACTTATACATGGGGTTGTTAGGTAGTTGGTTTTCCTGTGATAGATGCAGGATTGGCCAATAGTGGGCGTGGGGTTAGCCTGGTAGTGGATACGGTGTTGGTTGACAAATGGCTGATATCATTGGTGGGTATAGGATAGTCCAATGGCATATGGAGAGTTGATAGGCTTAGTACGTGAGTGAGGTCAAGTGATTGAGAGTTCAAATTTTGAAAATAATGAAAACAACTAAAGTTTCTTTTGTTTTTAAAAATAATTTTATTTATTTTTAAAAGTAAAAAAAGAATTCACAAAAAACTAAACAAAAACATTTTCTCCAAATTAAAAATTACAAAAAAATAAAAAAATAAAAATATTGCAGATCTGGCCCTTAGGAATTACTTGGTGGATAGGTCGTAGCAATAGTTTTGGCCTGAAAGCATTAATTATGGGATGTGGAAGGTGAAATACAATATAGTGGGAAGCGTGCAAACAACTTGAAGCAGCATAACAGGAGAAACAACGGTAAGTAGAAGTAGAAGCCCAATTCTGTAGCATGACCTGTTATTAGGAGACAAATGTTTCAACTTAAAATGTTTCAAACTTATTGTTCCAGTTATCTTTTTACTGCCTCTTAGATTCTTATATTGATTTATTTTAGTTAAACTTGATGGCTCTTTTAGAATTTGTTTCTCAGGATAATTTTTATAAGGCTCTTTTATGCATTGCTGAAATCGTAGGAATGTTGTTCTTTGCTTATTACTAGTAATTTCTGTTGTGAAATCCGCTCCGCCAAACACCTACAACCTCACTGTTGCGAAGAACTCCTTATGGATTGAGTTAGATAGAAAAGATATTTAATAATATTGTACAAATCTTTTCAGCAAGATTATGATTTCAAATTATTGTAATCTTGCTCCGTCAAGAACACCAAGAAATAAGAAATGGAATGCAAAATAACTTTCTGTAAAATAGGATCAAATAGCCATGACCGAACTCCTCTCAGCCACTTGTGCCTTCTCTGTCGAACTCCCTGCTTCTGGCTGCCGAGCCTTGCTATTCTTCTGAATGCCCCAAGAAGTACCTGCAGGATGACGAACACCTTGCTGCAGTTCTATTGCTCCCCACTGCTGCAGTTCCAAGAACTGTATGCAGCGGTTAGTTTCGAATCCCCTCCTCGGCGCTGCGACTCCTGTAGTCTGCGGTTCTTGGATGCAGAAAGAAAAATGGAGCAACAACAGTATCCAAGAAAAACGAAAAAAAAAACAGAAAAGCTGCAGGAATAAAGGA